TCCTCCTCCTCCTCCTCCTCCTCCTCCTCCTCCTCCTCCTCCTCCTGTTCCTTCTCCTCCTCCCTTCACCTCCGCCTCGTTTTCCCCATCTCCTCATCCATCCCCTCCCTTCATCCAGCCACCGTGGCGCCACTGACCGGGCGGACCGGAGCGCCGCCGCCGCCCGACGCTCACTCGCACCTCTGGAGGCCTCGCTGGCTGGCCTTGACCTGGGCTGCGCAGTCGAAACATGGCCACAAGAGCGTGGGCAGGCCTGACCTGGATCGAATCGCGAAATTGGATCGGATCGGGAACGGACTGGATCGCCAACGTGACTATCGTCCCGAATCGAATCGAATCGAAGCCGCCTCGCCGCGCCAGGCTCCGGCTTGCCCCACCAAATGGCGTTGGATCGAACCAAACCGGACCGAATCACATCGAATCGGATCGTGGGCGGCCCTGGTGGGTCCAAAACATGAGCCCCTGCGCTGAGGTAGCTTCGAAGCGTGACGCGGCCAGCGCCGCCCTGCTCTCGCTTCGCTCCTGCAGAGGGATCCGCCGACCTTCCGAGGATCGGTACCCACATGTGGAGCCCGAAGCGACGTATGTTTTTGAAACCACTGCGAGGGCGCCCCATCGAGCTCAGTCCGTGCAGGGCGCCTCGCAGGGCCCCCCCCCTGCTTCGTCGCCATCGGGAGGCCTCGCTGAGGGTCACAGCACGAGGCTTTCCCCGCCAAAGCGAGGACTGTTCTTGACCTTTTGGCCAGCTGCAATCTCAGTGCGCTGCTGTGCATGGGGATCGATATCGCTGTCGCCCGTCGTCCGTCGCTGTCGCCGCGCCTGTCGGTCTTGCCATTCGCCGCTCTCGCCTTCCGCTCGTCGCTCGCCTGTCTGTCGTCTGAGGTTCGCCTGCGGTCTGTCGTCTGCACCAAGGCTCGCGGCTCGCCTGTCGTTCGTGCCTCTTCCGGTACTTTCACCTAGCTCCCATTGCACCTGTAAGCGCATGTGCCTGAGAATTGCGACCTTTGGGACTTCGTCTATGCTCTTGTGCCCGCGTTTTTCTGAGAAGCCTTTGTGGTGGATCCGATCAGGGCTTGCATGCACCCAGAAACATTGCACACCAACCTGGCCCAATCTTGGCACAGGTGCCCTCCCGTGTGTGTAACAATATGTGTATGTATACATATATATATACATTCACAGACATACATGCTTACATGCATACATACATGCTTATGTATGTGTGTCTACAGAAACGTTGATCTCTAGAGATTTGGTTTCCCGTCGACCAAGCCCGCAAAGACGCCCCGCTCGATTTTCAGAAGATCTTCCACTCCGCCGCTCTCCACGACGGAGCCACAACTGAACGCCACGATGTGGTCGAAGTCCAGGATTGTCTCCACGCGGTGGGCGACCGCAATGATGGTGGTCATGGGGAACTGCGTCATTAATGTCCGTTGCACCGCCTCTTGCGTGCTCGGATCGAGTGCAGACGTGCACTCGTCCAGCAGAAGAACTGGCGGCTGCTTGATCACCATCCGCGCGAGGCTCAGCAACTGCTTTTGACCGAAACTCAAATTTGCCCCGTCGCGCGTGATCTCCGTGTCGAGCCCGCCCTCCTGCACAAACTGCATAAACTGCACAGCCTCCAGGGCGCTCCTCACGCACGAATCGGGGAACTGGCCGAAAGGATCGACATTGTACCGCACGGTGCCCTGAAAAACAGTGGGGTCCTGGGGCACCAGTCCCACAATCGACCGCAGGGTCTTGAGGCCCAAATTCCTTGCGTCAATATCACCGATATGGATTCGCCCGCTCCGGGGCTCCAAGATGCGGAGGCAGCACAACAGTGCTGTTGACTTGCCGCAGCCCGTCGTCCCAACGAAACCTACCTTGGCCCGTGGCTGAATGTCAACGTTGATGTTGTGCAGGACGCTCTTCTCGTTGCAGTAGCCGGCGCTGAGCTCCTGAAGCGTCACGCTCATGCCCTCGCCGTACCTTGCGCTCCATAGGTCCAGGAACACAACCTCTGGAGGGTCGCACAGCTCCGCTGCCATCGCCTCCGCGGTACGAGCGCTGTTGACTCCCACGATCATGTACCTAGGTACCGATACCGCTACTCCCCGGACCTCTCCCGGGGAGCGTCCTGACCAGAACCTCCAGGCCCAATCCAGTCCTGGCGTCGAGGGTTCCCCAGGAGGCCCCCCAAAGGGGAACACAAGGGGGAGGGGTAGCGGCATGGGTACCTGTTTTTCCTCCTCTGGGCACCCGCCCTCGCACTCCTCCGGGGCGTCGGCCTCCCGCAGGCTGGGCGCCAGGTCCCGGATGCCGCACCCCGCCACGAACGCCAGGGCCGGCCCGCCGCGCACCGACGTGAGGATCGGGCGCCTCCCGCTGCAAAGCGCCAGCTGCCCCGGGGGCTCCCCTGCAGCGCCGGGCAGGGCCCCTGCCCCGTCCACGTAGCCCAGCACGCACACCGCCTCGCCGGGCGCGGCCGGCCCGAACCCCCTCGGCTACGACGAGCCTGCTCCACTACTCGCAGAGTGACTACTGCTCGCAAATGGCCCGGATCCGCCACAGCGGATCTACGAGAAAGTACATCGAAGCAGGCATGCGTTTTTCGGACGTTTGCGAGTAGGCACTTTGCGAGTAGTGGAACGCGCTCGGCGATCAGCTACGACGCCCCCTGGGCCGCCCGTGTCTCCCCCGCCCCCCCCCCAGCAAGATGTCGGCCCGCGTGGCCCCAGGCACGGGCGGCGCGCACGCCCGCGTGCACGCCCGCGCGGGTCGGGGGCGTGGCCCCGAGGAGGCGCAAGCGCACGGCTGCGCTCCGCGCGGGACAGCCACGAAAGAGCGCCGCGTGTCCATTTGAGCAGGGACCGACCGTCCAGGCATTCCGATAGTCCTACCACGAAATGTTCTTAGAACCCAAAGATGTTCGAATAAACAAAACAATGTCTTTAGAACATGAACTCGATGTGTTCAAACAAGACAGACTCCGCCATACATCTTGTAAGAACATTTCGTGGAAACCACAAAAGTTCTTAGAACATTGTTTGGTGGGGCTATCGGCAATCGGCGAGCCAAGACGCTTCGCCACTGCTTGATCCATGGGGTCCCGGCGTCCCGGCCCAGGGGCCCGGTCAGCGAGGCCGTGGACATGGATATGTGTTCCCGCCGATGGACAGAGGGTTCGGACGGGCACCGCCTCGGCGCCCCTCTTCAGCTCCAGTTTGCACATGTCCTCCCTGCGGAGCCACCGGCTCGTGCGGACGCACGGGTCGTCGGGCATCCGTGCCGGCGCCTCCGGCTCGATGTCGAAGTACTTCGTGAGGCGCTGCAGCGCGTTTAGCGTATGGAGCAGCGCGATGAAGGTGAGAGATATGTTTTCGAAATCGATGATCATGCTAAACGACAAGGAGATGACGACCGTGAGGGAGCCCATCGGCATGCCACCCCACAGCCCGCCCAACGCGAACACGCCTGTGAGCATGTTCATGCAGAGGAACATCCGCGATTGAAGCCACGATGTGGCCGCGGCGCTGACAAGGTAATTGCAGCGAACGGTTTGCGTGCAGATGTTGCCGTACCTCTTCTGGAACTCGCTGGTCATGCCGTTGCCGCGGAGGGACGCCGCCGATGACATGACCGCCTCCTGCATGTCCTGCGCCAGCGAGGTGCTGAACTTGGAGTGGAATATGATGGGCACTGCGGTGCCCCTGTAGATGTAGACAAGGAAAGCGGCGCAGCCGTAGAAGGGAATGGCTGCAAGCGCCACAAGTGGAGGCACCATGTTCATGATGAACACCTGCGCCATGATCGCCCCTGTGCAAAAGTTGAACGTTGTCCCCAGAACCGACATAAGGCCGTCGTCTATTTCCTTCATGTCAGCTGAGAGTCTGTTGATCACACGACCGACAGGCTGTTTGTCGAAGAATCGGTCGATCGGTGCGCGGAGGATTGTGTGCAGACACCGCGAATGCAAGGCCTTCGCCGCTGAAACGCCGGTACGAGCTCCAGCGTAGAAGTCCAGGACACACATCGCAGCACCAAACAGAACGATGTAAACGAGTGCGCTGACGAAGCTCCAATCCGACACGGGAAGAAGCGCGGCCTTGTTGTCGATCCAGACGGCGAGGATGTAACTTTGGCGGAGTATGCAGAAGCGAAGGGTGATGATGCACATCAGGCAGAAGGCCAGGTTAAAGAAACCACCCTCCCTCAGCCACCACAGGAACGAGCGCCACTCGATGAGATCCTGAACTTCCTGGTCCCGCAATGCGTCCTGTTGCGGTCCCGACGCGCGCTGGACGACATCCAGGGTCGTCCCCTGGGTACTGCGGCGGCCTCTTGCCGAAAAAGTGGGCGCTCGCAATTTGCCTTCTGAGTCGCTCGAGCTGTCCTGTAGGGAACTCAACAGCCGGCCGAACGGTTCACTCGCCATAACTTGGGACGGCGATCCCTGCTCGACGACGCGGCCAGCCTCCATGAGCACCAAGTGGTCGAACTGCTGCAGGGTCTCCGAATCTGGCTGTAAAGCCACCACCCTGGCCTTGCCGGCCATGGCGGGACCCCTGATCAACTCCTTGAATATGTGATTCCCAGTTGGCCTGTCCACTGACGCGACTGGATCGTCGACGACGACCAGCTTGGCGCCCTCCTTGTACGCTGCCCGTGCCAGCGCAACGCGCGCCTTCTGGCCGCCGCTCAGGCGGATGCCGCGCGTGCCGATGCCCACCTGGTCGCCGTCCGGGAGGACCTGCAGGTCCGGGCCCAGGCCAGCGCTGTGGAGGGCCCCGTGGTAGCGCTCCTGGCTGAGCGGCTGGTTCAGCAGAACGTTCTCGCGCAGGGTGCCCTCGAAGATCCACGGGACCTGTGCGCAGTAGGCGACCTCGCCCGACTCGGCCGACGGGACCTCGGCCACGGCGCCCCCGACGGGGTAGAGCTCGCCCAGCATCGCCTGCAGCAGGGCACTCTTGCCGGAGGCCACCGCGCCGACCACGCCGACCAACGCGCCCTCCTTCACCTGGGGGAACCAAGGTGGTACCGACATCGCTACCCACCCCTGGGACCTCTCCCGGGGGGGCGTTCTGCCCAGGACTTCGAGGCAAATCCAGCGGTGGCGACGAGGGCCTCCCAGGAGACCCAAACAGGAAAAAACGGGCGAGGGGGGTGTAGTTGTGGGTGCCTCTTCCGCCCCCGATCACCACCACGTCCAGATCGTGCAGCGTTGCGGGTCCGCCCTGGCAAAAGGAGAAGCTGCCCGAGAGGTGCACCAGCGGTGCCTGCTTGGTGTCGGGCACGTCCACCACTTTGCGCGGGACCGTGGGCGCCATCGCCCCGACATGGGGACGCTCTGGCTGATTGAGAAACGTTCGAATGCGTTCGAAGTTGTTGGGCAGCTTCAGCATCTTTGGGATGACCCCGACGAACGTCTGCAAGCTGTTGAGGAATCCCTCGAGAATCCTCTGCAGCATGAGGAGCTGGAGTGCGCCCACGACACCTCCCCCCCGCAGAATCCAAACGACCGTTGCTATCAGAATTCCGCATGGGACGGTAAAAGTGAGCCCCTTGAAACAACCATACAGTATGGTGAGCCGCTTCGTCGTCTCGAGCTCCAAGCCTCGGAAGCTGTTGAGCCTGTCGAAGTAGAGCTCCTCCCAGGCCAACATCTTGATGACGCGGATGTGGACCATGGCCTCCACCAAACTTCTCAGCCGCGAGTCCTGGTACTCCTGGCTGGTTCTGGCGGCCGTCATGGCGAATATGGACAGGACGACCCACAGTATCAGCACGGGGACCACGTACAGGACTCCCAACACGGCCGCGGAGTGGGCCTCGCGAACGAGCAACGCGAACAATACCACCATCATCACAGGCGTGACCATGACTACGACGATGTCGCGGCACAGGCCCTGCCAGGCCTCTGTGATGTCGACGTTCAGCACTTGCACCACGTGGGGCACGGCGTCGCTGGTCTCAGACGACTCGCTGTGATTGCCGCTCTTGTCGCTCTTGTCGTCGGAGCCCACGGGCAGCCGCATGCTCTTCTCGAACACGAGGCCAGCGAGGGCAGTGGTGCACTTGCAGTTGCAGTACGCGTCCAGCAGGGTCGCGACAACGCTGAACAGGCGGTAGACCATCGGCACTGCCCAGACGAGGCAGAGGACGGCCACCGTCGCCCCAAAATAAGACTGCTCCTTGTCTGGATTCGTGGCGCGTTCCCGGTTGAGCTCTTGCAGGATGGAAAGCAAGGCACCCAGCGCGACCACCATCCCGAGCCGCTGCAAGACCTGCTGTATCGTGACGGACACAAATATGGCCACAGCCTGAACGGGGAACGCCCAATGGGCCGCGCATCGGCTCCCTCCTGAACTTGCCTTCCCTCTTCCCCACTCCTCCCTCGTCCCTCTTTGTGCTTGGCCCCAGCACTCGACAAAGCCCACACTGTCAAACATATGTGTAAGACGAAATCGCTACGATACGAACCCGCCGTGCCATGCAAGGCGAGGCAAGTGCACAACCTGGGCGTGGAAAGAGCACAGTGCCCGAAAAGAAAGGAGTAAGGGCGGTGCGCTTGGAAGAATTCGAACGTGAATGCAGATCCGCATTCCCCCCGCTAGACCCCCGAAGTTCTGAATTACTTGTTCACGACGTCGACCCTCGGAGGTCTCGACCTATTCCCCAGGACCGGTTTATCATCCTGAGTCTTTTTGAGGGCCCCATGAGGCAGAAAATAGCGAAAAACCTGACTTCGCGAGTTTTCACAACTCGAGAAGGTCTGGGGCCTAAAGTTGAATAAATCCCGATGCGGGTCGGGCGAATCATGCACAGACGCAGCAAATGTTGCTGAAATGCCAAGATGTATCGCGCAGGCCAGGTGAGGACGCCAGAGGTGAGGAGAGACCTCTCGGCAGAGGCCCGATGCAGCGGTGGGAACTGAATTGAGCCCCGTCAGTGGTGGCGGTGCGGCTGTGTGAGGTCTCAGACCCCCTCGAGTCTTGAAAAAATCACGACGGGAGGATTTTCGCTATATCTTCGGCCTCTGAGGCCCTTCCGGGGCCTCGGGACTGTCAAAAACGACTCAGGATGAGAAGCCCGTCTCGGAGAATGGGTCGAGACCTCCCCAGACCCCCGACGTCATGATTTTTTCATAACGTCGACCCCCAGACGTCGACCCCCAGAGGTCTCGGACCATTCCAAAGGACCAGTTTTTCTTCCCGAGCCGTTTTGTTGACGCTCCGCAGGCCTCTTAAGGGCCCCCAGAGGCAGAAAATATTGCAAAACCTCCCGTCCTGTTTTTTCCATGACCCGAGGGGATCTGGGTCTGGGGCTCGACGCTATGAAAAAAGCATGATTTTGGGGTCTGGGGCTGAGGCTGCGCCTATAGACCCTGAGGGGGGACGGCCCTACGCGGGGCCAGGCGGTGGTGCCCGAGCGGCAGTCACATTCAATCAGTAACCCGTGGTTGTGTCGCTGGGCGTCTTCCTGTGTGGGACAGGTGCGAATCCCCCAAATGTTCCCAATCCTCTGGCGGTGTGTTGGGAGCAGACAAGGCTACGCTACACAAAATGCACACGATAAGAAATCTGCCGATCCCTTCTGGGTCTCTACGCGTGTGAGATCCCCCCCTCCCCCATATATCCCCCCAAGGACCCCGAACTGGGAATTTGAACCCGCCCCCAGCCCCCGGTGACCCCGGCACGAACACATCACGGGGGCATGAGGCCCTCAAACCAGGCCAAGAGGGCCCCAAGAGGCTCCCAAAACGATCCAAGAGAGCCCCGAGCCGCCTAGGAGGAGGATGGTGGGGGTCGGCAGCTGTGGCGCAAGCCTGTAGAATTTTGCCATACAACATTCGCACGGTGCCCCAGGGAGGCTCTGCCGCCCCATCAAGAGATACGGCATTATCGTAGGGCACCCGATGGCAGACCAGCGTCGTACTTGGCGTCTCTACTGCGGAGGAATATCTGAATAGAAGAAGCGCTTGGATGTGCAGAGTGGATGGCCACAACAAAGACAAGTACCCCTTCAACTTCTGTGGAAGTTCCGATGTGCTGTAGCAAAGCGACGTGCATGGGGAAAATGCGAATATGCAATTGCGGTGCGATGCCATGTAGAGAAAGCACATCGACTGTGACCGCACGCGTGTGCACGAGCTGTTGCAACTACAGCCTTTGAGTGATGGCGCAATTGTGAAGAGTAGTGTTGCTGCGCTGGCACAGGCTGGGAAAAGGGTGAACAGAGCACAAAAGTTCAGGCAGATGGTGCAACTATGGGCGATGATGAAGATGGCTCACAATTGCGGCAGGAAGCTGCAGCTCAGTGCCACTTCTGACACCTGCGCCTGTACTGTAGCATAGAGGCAGCGTCTTGCACTGCGAATGTAAAGATCTGCAAACATCTGCAAAGGTACGTATCCGGATCCGCCGCGGGGGCTTCGCGATGTTTTACATGGAGGGATGCATGTTTTGATTCGGAATTTGCGAGTTGGCACTTTGCGAAAGTGGAACGCGCTCGGTGAGTACAGTACAAGGGAAATCAAATGCAGAGAGACGTGCCACAGCGAGGATGGGGGAACGACTGGGACGGTCACGCCCAAGCGACGGACAAGCAGTATACAGTTGGGAAAACTACGAGCGCGGTGTGGCATCGATCCCCCCACCCTCGTCCTCCCCCCCGCTCCCCGCGGTGAGCGACGGGGGCGTGTCCGCCTCCCCGCCGTAACAACGGAGAAACGCGCGCGTGTAGAACATGCGGTGGTGAGGTGAGGAGGGGTGCTCCTGGGTCTTCCAGAAGCGGTAGGCGCTGCGGCACAAGACAATGTGAATGTAGCGGTCGAGGTCGTAGAGGAAGACGCGAGGCTGGGGCCCAGATGCACAGTGACCGTGCGCTAGATGTTTTTGGCGGCCCTGGCGCAGGTGAAGTTCGTAGATGAGGTCGTGAAAGGTAATGGCAGGCTAACAGCGCTGCGGCGGAATAGCCGATGTCGAAGCCGAACTCGCACGTGCTGTTGTAAACATGGTGCGTGCATTTTCGTGTTTGCGGCTGTGGCTGGCAGTCGGGGTGCCCGAGGCCACGGCTGTCGGACAGCAGCAGCAGGGTCGGTCTGCTGCGCGGCAAGCCACGGCAGGCGACAACGGCTGTGATACAATGTGTTGACGGAAAACTGGCGTTGGCACCATCTGTTATACGGGTGGCTTTGGTGCTGGATGCGCCTGCCGATGGAACCTTCATTTTGCACGGCCCCCGTGCCAGCGGCCAGATGGCCCGTGCGCGCGTGTGTGGATCCGCGGCGTCCGCTCTGGCCCGTGCGGCGGCCGCCCGCGGCGCGCCGGGGGGCGTAAGACGTGGTGGCCTTGCGCTGCGAGGCTGGGGTGCTGATGGCTTGAACGTCGCGTCCGTCTGGGCCACTTGTCCTCACAATGGTGGCATCAGTCATCGGGGTGGCTGCCTCGTGGAGGTTGCCAGCAAGGTTGTTGGAGTGCTGCTGTCGTCGCAATCGAGGAGACGACAGTGCGGTGTTCGTCTTCGGGGAAGTGGGCCGCTGTTGGGGTGCAGGTTTGGATACGGTCTACACTGACGTCGGAGATCGGCGTGGATACGCTTCGTCGTGGCCGCTTGCACTTGCGTTCCTCGGGCTGGTGTGAATTCTGGTGGGGATGGGTGGCCTGCAAGCGTAGAAATGAATGGGTGGTCGAATTTGCAAATGACGAGGTTTGCCCAGGCCTTCGAGTCAGGGTCGTTGGCCAGCAATTGCTCGAGGGTGGTGATGTGATCCTAGCGGCTGCGTGCTCGCCAGAGGCGATGAATGCGTTCTATTATGAGAGCGGCGCGCTGCAAGCGCTCATGCGAGAAGACGTTGTCCTTGTTGAAAGGCCGCAGTGGCTGTAGCCCGTGCAGGTCGTGGCGGGTCCTGCGGTCGTCGTTTTGCACGGTTGGCGGCTTGGCATCATCGGTGCTGGCAGCGAGGTCGGTTATTCAGGTTTTCCAGCCAGCGGGCCTTGGTGAGGGAATGTCTCATGCGAGGTCGAGCTTTTTTTTGTCTGGTGGCGGAAATCATCGTGCTGTCACAATCGTCGTTCAACGGGTGCATTTTGACCCTCGTGTTATGAATGTTCCGTTCAATGAGCAGGCCGTATTGGAAGGAATGCGGCCTCTTACTTGTAGGCGGTGGGCGTGGGATTTAGCATAGACTTCTGGTGCGTGAGCTCGGTGTTCTGTCCATGGCGAGGGGACAACGGGGCGTTCCGATGGAGTCGAACTGGCCTGCTCTGCGGTTGGGCTGCATTCGCAATGACGATATATTGCTGATGTCGCGTTGCTCGGTGAATGGATTTCTGGCGGGATGCTCGGGGGTGGCATCTGCGGGGAACACCTCGGAAAGGCAGTTGTCACGGAAAGAGGTGTGGCGCGCGCTGCTGCTGGAAGAACCCCTCCACGCGGCAGCTGTCCGGGGCCCTCCGAGAGGCTGGCGTGCACGTGCCCGTGCGGGCCAGGCGCCCACCCCTGAAGCATGGTTGGTGCCGAGGGCGAGCGGGAGCTGGAGGCGGACGTCGCGGGTGCTTGGTGCTGTACTGGATTGAGGCTCGGTTGCGAGGCGGGGCCCATGGGCCAACAGCTACAGAACGGGTGCAGTCACTGCTCAGGCGCGCTCGCTGTTGCTAGCTGCTTCTGCTTGTGAAGTCGCACTGCCTCTGGAACTGCCGCACATTCACGTGTACAGCGCGGTCAACGTGGGACGCCTTGGAGCACATGGAGTAGGAGATTCAGCTTACGATTGCGGATCTAGTGGTCGGATGTGTCGTTGTCGTGGCACCTCAATCGTAGTCCATTCCCGAGTGTGCTTCCCCACTTCTCGTCCTCCTTTCTTGGCGCAGGCGCTGGCGGCTCGGGGGTTCAATGCGCGCAGTCGCTCCTGGGGGGAGGTGGTCAAACTACTGAGACTGGCAGAACGGTGAAACTACAAAGAAAACCGCGATTGACCCCCCAGTGGGGCGGAGTAGCCAAGTCCCCCTGCCACCCCTGATGGGGGGGAGAGGGGAGCGACGAAACGGCGAATACGACCCTGCAACTGAAGCTTATACGTGGAGAGAGGGAACAACTTGGGATAATTGGGCGCGTAAGGATGGTTTGAACAGAATAGGAACAGTTGAGCGACACAGAGCAGGGGGATCGCCTTCACTGACATTGGCGCGTAAGCTGCTCGCGTAAGACCGCGCGTAAGCGCCCTCGTCTCCAATGCAGCGTGCCGCGCCGGCGGCCCGCGTAATCCACCACGTAAGGTCGCTGTGCCATCTCGCGCAAGACCAGTGTTTGATCGTCGCTCAGCTGATAATGGAAGGTGGCTAGGCTGCCTTGGCCAACGGGTTTGTGCTTATTCTTGGAAATAACACGTGTTACAAGAGTATAACTTGTTCTACCAGCGGGCTTGCGCTTCTGGGCGGAGGGGGGCAGTCGGGCGAGAAAAGGGGCCCAGCGACGGGGCCGAGCAGGTGGCGGTGGCAGCGGCCAGGGCGTGCCAGCGAGGCTCTGGCTGTTCCCCGCGCCCATCCTGCATGTCCCGCCCGCCGCTGCGCTCACACGGAGTGGGCGGGTGAAGTTCGGTGGGGCGGGAAGTGGGGAGCTACGAGAGCAAATGGCGGGCAAGAGGCGGGTGATGGTTAGGTGCGTGGCTGGCTCCGAGTGGCTCGCGGCTGGACATCCGCCGACCCTTCGGCGTGTGTGAGATGCTGTCGTCGTCGTCGTCGTGGCCGTCGCCGTCGTCGTCGTCGTCAGTCCCAAGGACAATAAGGAACGAACAAAAAAAAGAAAAGGCGTAGTTAAGTCGATTCCCCTCCCATTTTCCCTTCACTGACAGGGGGGGGCGGGGTACCCAGACATCCGGCCGCTCCAATTCTTTCGATGCGTGGGCCCTGGCAGTCTGGACCACTTCTCTGGGGACTGGCTTTTCATCCGGAGTCGTTCTGTGACGGCCCCGATGCCAGGGGGAAGGGGCCCTTGAGGCCGAACATCGCGAGAAACCTCCCGCCGTGAACTCTTCAAAACGCGAGGGGGTCTGGGTAGGCAGGGGGGGTGGCGGGAGGGGGGTAGGGGGGGGGGCGGGTCAGCGGGTGGAGCCGCGCGTGGACAGGGGGGGACCGCGAGGGGCTGCCCTCTGTGGGGGGGAGGAGGCAAGGATGCAAGGGTACCCTTGGGAAGGTTGCCCATCCTTACCATGCTGGTTGACTGTAAGTTGGGAAGCTGGCCTGTACCATATGAAGTCGAGGAGCACGGGGTCGTGCAATGCGCCATGGTACGAGCTGTTGCTGGGATACGTGTCGTGCCGCCGCTATGGTGGTCAATAGGTCCGAATTTCTGCACATCAATGCGTGGAGTTCTTTGGTAAGTGAACTCGCGTAGACCCACCCATCAATACCCATCCGCCCATATCCGCGTGGATCGTGGCCAACCGACGCAGAACACTTGCGAGGCCCAGACCCCACAAGGGACCCTTCACTTCGGCACGAGAGTGCCGAAACACCCGTACCACCCCCCTGGAGTCTCGGGTGGGAGTCTGGATCCCGTGGTGGAATCTTGTCAGTCTAAAACCCGAGCCGAAGGAAAGCAGACACTTTGCGAAAAACTGCGAACGGCCTGCGGAGGAGCTCTGGAAGCGCTGCGAAAGAGTTTCTGGAAACCCTCGCGGCGCACGCATTGGGAAACGGTTAGGAAAGCGCTTCGGGGACACGCTGAAACTTCAAGCAAGCTGCGTCGGCGCTGGTTTCCGCAAGGCGGGGAAATCTCCAGGGCTACCCTTGCTTGCAGGATCCCGCGGTGGAAATACGCTGGTCACCCAGGATGTCGGAGATGAGGTGCAGGCCGTCGCTGTGGTAGGAAGTGATGATCTCGCTGCGTTGCCTCTAGATTAGTAGGACTCATCAGCATGCCGCCTGGGCCTTGGTCCGATGCTGCTGCTGCTGCTGCAGCAGTCTGGTGACAGTGAGCGCGTACTGGTAGGAAAAAGAAACATGCCGAGGTGTAGGTAGGTGACGTGGAGGCAGGTGGACTGAGTGTTGGGAACCCGTCGCGGGTGGAGCAACAAATGGTAGAGTGGGGATGCGACGCATTGGACCGACCTCCTCAAGGTGTGGAGGTGGGTGAGTGGGGGTCCTTGCTACAATGCCTACTCGCGTGCCCCACTAGTGGCTCCAGCCTCTTCCAAGCCAGTCGCTTCGAGATGGCAAGCGTTTCAAGACAACCCTGCATTCAACAAGCCAGCCAATGAATTGCGCCAGCCAGCTAACTTGTACGGTACCTGCCAATTCTACGCAGCATAGGTGTTCGCACTCGAGGGACTCCGTACACAGGCCCCACTAGCAGCTTTAACCAACTGCCCTCGGTGAGGGCGTGGACTGCTTTCCGAGAGGATCAATTCCCATGTGCAGGCGTACGTCAATTGAACGCTAACACGCCGTTGACCACTTCGGCCCTCAGCGAAGGCCGCCACCGTTCCAGGCGATGGCCGTCGGTGAGGCCATCCTGTCACCGGGACCGCAGTTTTGAGCGATGGTCCCCGGTGGGGGCATCCAGGGAGGAGGAGGAGGAGAAGGAGGAGCGGGAGACAGTGGATGGTAGTGGAGCCTGGAGGTGGTGTAGGGACTATGGGGGCATCTTACAACTGGCCATGCACCGATGCTCAGGCGGACTGGTTCGAGTACGATGCGGTGGGCGTGGAGCCGCCCACCGCATCGGCATCCTGGTTACCGCGCACGGCACTCGAGGTCATCTCTGCATCGGCCCCTTCTCGAAGAAGTATGGGGGAACGGAGGGGTACAGTTGAGGGGGGGAGGCCATCCTTGCCACACCCAGGCGTTGCAGCATACTCTTGAATGTCTGCTGAGCCCAGCTGTCTTGCATATTCTGGTTCTCGCCGACGCGCGCTGCTGCAGTACCAGGGCCCGACCTTCTTTTGATCGAGCGTTGCGCTCCGAGCAGGTGTCTGTCAGGGATCGCTGCCACCAAGAAGCAACGGATCAAGCAAACCAACGCTTGTCTCATGTAAAAGGTAAGCCTCTGAGGGTGGTTTTGGCCGTTGGATGGGTTGGCAGGTTGGCAGGGCGGGTGTGTGCAGTGCGCCTCGTGGAGCCTGGCCCGTGCCACGGGCCTGCTCGCTGCATGGTGGAGGGGGGGTGCGGGCGGCCGGCGTCCCCGTAGTCGCAGAGCGACATACCTCCTCCTCCTCCTCCTCCTCCTCCTCCTCCTCCTCCTCTTCCTCCTCCTCCTCCTCCTCCTCCTCCTCCTCTTCCTCCTCCTCCTCCTCTTCCTCCTCCCATTCCTCCTCCTGTGCACCTCGTCCCTCATGCTTCTGATTCCCTCTCTCCATCCTGGCTTCTACTGCTTATACTATTTGTTTGCCTACCGTTTCACACGCGCACGGACACACACACACACACACACACACACACACATGCGCTGCCTTTTTCGTTCCTCCCCCTCCTCCTCACGTGTCCTCCTTCATGTCATCCTCTTCCCGCCTTATGCCCCTCCTCCCTAATTCTCCTGCGTCTGCTGCTCCTCCTACCTCCCATCGCCCTCCCCCAAAAACCCTGCGCGTTCGGGGTCCCCATCGCTCCCTCCTCCCACCCGTCCTGTCCTCGTCATCCTGGCCCACGGGTTCGCCCCATGTCCGCGGCCTGCTTCGTGCCCACCAGCCGGAACAAGGCCCTCTTCAGGCTGGCACCGTCGCTCCCGTGGGCGTCAGTCTCTTCCTGCCACGACTTGAGGATTGAGAGGACTGGGAACTGGGAATGCTGAAGGGAAGGACTGGGCAGACGGAGGGGAGGAGGATGAGAAGGAGCGGTGAGAGGAGAAGAAGGCATGAGGGGGTAGAGTGGAAGAGGAGGAGGAGGACGAGGAGGAGGAGGAGGAGGAATGATGAGGGCGAGAGGAGAACGCAGGACGAGGAGGGGGGAGGAGGGGGAGGAGGAGAGAGGACGGAGCCGGAGATACGAGGATGGAGGGGCGAGCGAGCGAGCGAGCGCGCGATGTCGGTCCAGCGGGACAGGCACTACGAGGGCAGCGCGGGGGGGCCGGGGCCTTCAGAAGACGTGTTGCGAGCAGAAATCGGGGAGATGGACGTCGGGGTCGGAAGCCTTGGAGCAGGAGTCGGGGAGATGGACGCTGGAGTCGGAAAAATGGGAGCAGGAGTCGGAGAGATGGGCGCTGGCGTCGGAAACCTTGGAGCCGGAGTCGGAGGAAGATGAGGAGGAGGAGCAGGAGGAGGAGATGACGGGGGAAGGAGCAATAGGTCATAGGAGGGGGAAAAGGGAGGAAGGGAGGGAGGGAGGCAAGAGGGGGGATGTGGAGGAAAAGCAAGGATCTGGCGAAGCAGGGTGAGATGGAGAGAAGTAAGGAGGCGGATGAGTAGGAGAAGAGGAAGAAGGATGAGGAGGATGAGGAGGAGGAGGAGGAGGAGGAGGAGGAGGAAGAAGGGTTTAAAGAGCAGGGGGAATATTGAGGCGAAGTGGAGAGGCGGGGGAGGAGGCGGACGAGACGGAGGCGGAGGTGAGAGTGTCTGCTCCGTCCTGCCAGTACTGCTGGAGGGCCAGGTAATGCACCCGGTGTGACTCGGCCGCCTGCGTGATCTCGTCGCCGTCTAAGACCGCGGCCCAGCACTTCCCATATCGCCCCATGAGACCGTCCACCCAGCCGAGGCTCACCCACGACAGAAAACCGGACTGCCACGCCTCATCCTCGTTAGCCAGACTCTCGCTGGTCATCATGTGCTCCATGCCGCCTTTCATCGGCGCCAGGGCTACGGACCCGATAGACCAGAGGACCATACCGCCGCTGATGAGGAACCAGACGAAGATCAGCTGCTTGGCCAGCTGGTTCCTCTCTTGGACGGGCCTCTCCACCCACAGCGACTCCAGGAGCTCAAGGGTCCTGGCGGAACCGTCGCCCTCCTTCAGAAGAGAAAAGAACAACCCAAACATAGCATGTCAGGGCCCGCACGGATTCATGAGGTCGGCGGTGGACCACCCTCTTGGCGGCGCGAACCGCGGGTTGGTGCGAGGGCGGTGGCCTTCGAAGGAACGGCTCCAGCGGCCCCGGTGACACGCCATGCCTTAAGCTGCTCGGATGAACCAAGTACCAGAGGGGTCTCCCCGACGACCAATACAAACAATCATGAAATACATGGAATATTACAACCTGAACAACTACAAAGATATGCACACATGAAATATATCACGCTTTTTAATCTTGAAATGATACTTCACACGAAATACATGAGTATACAAACTTACAAAAGCTGCCTTAGCATGGAAAGCCGCACGGAATTCAGTGGGAATACAATGGACGTCGCGTACGATCGGGGCATACACTGGCCAACGCCTAGGTTACACAACGCATATCCAAATGAGGGTAACGCCATATACGCTAGGATTCGAGAGCCGCCGACACCGTACCCAATGCATTTACCAAACGTGCAACTCTGCATGGAAACGTACATGTGCGCGTGGCACTAGAAGCTGCTGGTGGTAACGTTGCAGACGAAAAACTGAATATCGCGAAGACGGTCGGCACTGGCCGAACGGAAAACCCCCATGCACCAAGTAAATGCATTAATGTTGCTGGGGGGGAGGGGGGGGGAGGGGAGGCACGCTGCGCGCGAGACCCCTGAGGCCGATGGGTCCGCAAAGACAGCCCAAGACGAATCCAAAAGATAAGACGACGAAAGCTCGCCGCGCGCCCGAAGTAGCTACTGCGAGGGCCAATGAAATGCCCGAAGATATTTCAAACGACTTCCAAGAAGCTTGACACGTGGCCCCATGCCGCGCCACGCCTAAAGGCCTCGGGATGCTTCCAAAAACAAGTTGGCTTCCAACAGTCCTCCAGAATTTCCCGTGGAGTTTCTCAGAGAACCGCAGCGGTCTCGACCGAAGGCGGACGACGACGGCGGGCGGCCCGTGCTCTCTGGCGCTCAAGCCGCGCGCCAGCACGATGGATTCGAAAAAGGATCGAACAATGTGAACTCCCTGGAAGCAGCGCCGAAGTGAAATTACTACCGAGTGGAGGCGACGCCAGAGAGAAGGATGCAGACCAAGAACTAAGAACATACGCCAGGTATGAGAGCACGATGGGAGAGGATGTGGATACGCGATCCCGACTCTTCCCAGCGCGCTGAGTCTCCTGCACCGCGGATCCCGCGGGTCTGACGAAAGACCGCCCGCGTCCCGCGCCAGGCGAACGAGGACATGCGGAGGCGCCCATCATCCCTCCTGCGTGAGCCCCTTGTCTTGAGGCCCTGATTCCTCTGGCCTCTCACGGTCCCCGTCGCCTGCGTCGATCTCCCCTTTCTCTGCCAGCGCCTGGAGCCTCTTCAAGACGCTCGCCCCAGGGTCGAAGGCCGCCTTGGCTCCGGTGCACTCCTGGGGGCAGACAACAACGCCAAGGGGCTCAGGCCGACGACGACGCCATGCATCGAGCGGGAAAAGGTTTGGGCCGACGAGGGGAGAGCAAAATCGAATGATTTGAGAATATCCTCTCGTAAGTCACCTACCGCATGCAAAACTTCTAGATGAGCCGACGTCGGGCCCGCGACGTCGGGCCGTTTCAAACCAGCAGGAGGAGTTGGAGGAGGGGGAGGGGAGGAGGCGTCCTCGTAGTACTTCTTCGCGCTCGTCTTGCGCATGTTGCCATTCCTGATGCCCGGGATGGCCACGAGCGTCTGGTGCAGGGCCGCAGTCATCTCGCAGTAGCTCCTGGCGCTGTCGGCCCGCGAACCCCAGTCCTTGAAGGAGCTCGCGTCGACAACGACGCCGCACCCGTCGTTGTTCAGGAGCTGCAGCTGGCTCCGCCAAGAACTTAGCATGGCCACGCCCTTGCCGCACCTTCCGAAGTCGCCGTTATCGAGCATGCGCTCTACCAAGGACTTATTCTCTGGCTCCAAGATGCGGTCCTTCTTCAGCTCCCATCCCGTGACTGACCATTTCGTGATGAGATCGGCGAGCTGGTTGCAGTCGCTGACCCACCCCGTGACGACGGTCTTGATGAAAGCGCTGATGTGGTCAAACACCTGAGGAACTCCTGACAAGTCAAACTCGACGCCAAGGCTGGCTGCCTTGAGCATCTGGTCGACAGACGCGGGCCTCTTGTGAAACAACTGCTGGGACTTCTGCTTGAAGGCGTCGCTACCCATGAAATCGCTGAAGATTTTCACCTCGCTTCGCACGTGGGACACTCGCTTCACCATGTCGGGACTGACCTTCTTGTCTTTCTTCTCCTCGATGCTGTCCCAATGGAGGCGGAACTCAGCGTAAGCCTTCATCATGTCGCCGTACAGGTTCAAGGCCTGCAGTTCGGTGATGAGGATACGTTGACCAGGCATGCTGTTCAGAACCCCCATGGCGGTGGGGAGATCACCATCGAGTTTGAAGGACTTGTACGCGTTCAACATATCCTTGGAGTCGTCGATCTTGCAGACACCGTTGAACGTGTCGTTGATCCATGTCTTCGCAGAGTTCTCCAAAGAAGAGATTCTCCTTCTTGCCACCTCCGTGCATTTCGAGCCCAGCCTTCCCTTGACTTCCCAGAAACGCTTGAACGCGCTGAGACAGTCTGGCACAATCTCCTGAATGGCCTTCGTGAGCTGATCGTCGTTCAAGAAGCGGTGCAGACCGTTCAGATACTCAATGCCATGCTCTTCGGTGACTTCGTCGACCGCATGCCACAGTTTGCCAGTGAACTCAATGAACGCAATAACCTTGAGAAGCACCCTGCACAAACCTGGGACTCCCACGTTAGAAATATCGGGGTGAATGTCGAAGATCGCCGCGCCGTCCTGAAATACCGCAAGTAAAGACTCGACACGGCCCTTGGAGACGTCGGGCACGTTGAGCTCCGGCGGCATCGCCAGGCCAAGATGTTTCTGCAAGACAACTTGCAGCAAGAACGAGCGCACGGCCATCAACCAGGCTGGGGTCACAATCTCATGTACTGCAGTCACGCAATCCTTGCGCTGCACGATGGACTTCGCAGTCACAATGTCGTGGGCTTCAAGGTCGGCCAGGTCCTTCACGAGAATTGCCTTGAGGTCGCTGGTGTTCTTATGCGCTGACTCCAGCTGGGCAATAGCGCCGCGGGCCTGCTTCAGGATCTCGCGGCCCTTGGGGAAGGCCGCGACGGCGTCTGCCACCTTGTACGTGTGCCACGAGTCCATGAGAGACTTGAGCTCGGTATGATCGCCACCCGCCCGGGTCAACATCTTCCGCAGCGCGGAAATCTCCTTCTGCACGAGTGAGATCTGATCCTCTGGACACGCCTCGTCGGGGAAGGGCGCGATCAATCTCCCATGAACCTGACCCCGCTGAACCGCCCCGAGACCGACGAACAGGGCCAGGGTCGAAAAAAGTGATATGAAATATGAAGGAGAATGGATAGCACCTCCCCGCGCGAGCCGTGACCAGACCTCCCATGCGCTTCGGGGTGGTGACCCACGGCCAGGTTTGCGACCGATGTCCGATTTGTCACTGCCGAAGCGCTGCACGAACACGTCGCAAAGGGCCAACATGTCCTGCTCCGTTCCAGCAACGTTCGTAGTCTCGGACTGCTGGAGCAGCATCAGCTTGCAGTTGACGACGTCTACCATGTACTGGGCGACTCCGCTGGCCTCAACGTAGACCGAGATGTCGCTGACCGCCATGTTGTCCCAGAACTTCTCCGCTGGCCAAGCGTCCTCTGCGATCTGCCGCCGCATTGTCTTCGTGATCCACGCGGAGAAGGGGTCCTCGCAAGGTGGCTCCTGCAGGCTCGGCAAATACACAAACTAGAGGAGGCGTTGCTTCGGGGCGGGGACTGCCCGAGGACACCAAGCGGGCGTCAAGAAGGCCAGAGAGCGCATCAGGAGGAGCCCGAGGGAGCTTCCAGAAGACACTCAGGACAATCCATGACTCCCCACCCAGACTAGCCTTAGAGGGTTCCCGGGATGGCTCGAGACGCCCAAGCTTGACTTAGCGGGGCAAGCTTTTCGGGCGTCTCCGAGATGGCCCAGAAAGGCTCCAAAGGGGGGCCAATCTAACTCCCATGGCCCATGACGGCCCGCGAGGCCTTCAGAGAAGCCCCCGCGACGACCTGCGCGAGCTCCAAGAGGCGCCAGGGAGCGCTCGTGCCGAAGGCAGCTCGAGAGAGCTTCAAGACGAGCCCAGGAGAGGACCCCAAGCGGCCGCCAAGAAGGCCCGAGAGCGTTCCAATAAGAACCCGAGGGAGCACCCAGGATACTTCATCGGGTGCGCTCGCGAGGGTGTATTGCGCCTGGGGCGGGCTTGGTCGAGCCGCTTTCCTGAGCAAAAATCCCCATCCGCGCACCCGAGACGCGTTGTTTTTGGTTTCAGAAAAGCTTGAATTCGGCACCCCGCTAATTCAAGTTTTTCGGCCGCCTCCGAGATAACCCAAGAGAGCTCAAATCATAACCCAACTATAGCTCCCAAGAAAGCCCACGAAACTTTCAGAGAAGCTCTCATGACGACCCAGGCGAGCTCCAGGACGCGAAGCGTGGATATTTCAAAAAGCCTGTGCGGCTGTCCAACGCGAAGAAGCGCATCTGCTCCCTGTAGCACTGCACGGTCTCTGGACTCGCGAAGCCCTTCGACTGGACCTTCGTGAACCAAGCTTTCGCGCCCTGAATCGTCTTCTCGAGGATCTGCAAGTCCTTCAGGTCCGACTCGTCCGTCGCGATCCTGATGTCCTCGTCGATGTCCTTGAGGTAGTTGCCCCAGTTGCGGTTGATGTTCTTCCACTCTCC